AAGTTTGTAGTTCAAGTTGATTTTTGATGTGTTTCGTAGGCCTTTTGAAAGCTTTTTGACCTTCCCTCTCTATTGCTAGCTGTCTACTCTCTTGCCCAATTGAAAGGCGGCTAAGTGATTTGACTTTGGCTCAGCAATGACTTTGTTAACTACTTCTGGGCCAGCCAAAAGTTTTCACAATTACGCAAAGGCTGCCAGGTTTTAAGCGGGATTACTTGAATTCAAAACGCCCAAGCCGATTCCCACTATAATTAGGAATTAGAAATTAGAAATCAATGACAAATCGCTTTTGACATCATCTCGGCCGCTGACTCAGCGCAATTCAGCTAAAATCTACTAAGCTTGGGCGACAACAAAAAATACGAAATTCCCATTTGGTAAGCTTAATTATTTTTTAGTTTAGTAAGCTGTTTTTGGGCTTGGCATTTGCATATTTCCGCGCACATTAATACGTATAATTTTATTTTTTGACTCATAATATTCCGCAGACAGAGAGAAGTGGAGAGAGCGAGGTCAATTAAGTGCCATTAGTTTGCCTTTTTAATTAATAATTTAATTTTTAATTTATTTAAAGCCGCTGCTTAAATCCCGCTGTCTATCTGATTCCGCACCGCGCATTCATGCATATAAATTATGCTAATTAGTTACAGCTACCGCCTGACAATTTAATACATATATTTGCATTCGTTTTTATCTGATCTGTTATATTTTTTAATTAAAGCTTATTAAAACTGTCGCTCACGGTCCTCTCTCCTCGCGACTTATCATTTGGCATAAATATATATTTACTTTTATGCTTAATTTATGACTTTAGCAATCACCGCGTAAAATGGGCTGGGAAACGTGCATAATAATTACCGAAAGCCTAGAAAATATTTAAATGAATTTTCTGTATTTTTTCTCTCCTCTTTCCGTTGTGTTTTTTTTTTTTTGCACGCTAAAAATGTTTTAATTATGTCAGAAATGATGTAGCGCGCTTGGCAGCAGATTGAAGTTGACCCAAAAAAAAAAACGAGCAAAGCTAAGAGGCAGAAAAAAACGCGATGACGACAAAACCGGTTGCCCATGTCCGAAGTATCTGATGTCTGAAGTCTGGGAGTGGAGTCTCCTCCGACTCGTAAATATCGGCTTTATGACCAGCCTCAATGCGAGTGTCCTCCGCTTTTTTTCTTTTGTGGCTGCCACTTAGCCCCCTGCCACGCCCACCAGCCGCCCTCGCAGACAATGTTTGGTTAGACAGCTTCCGACGCTGTGTTTTTCTTGCCCCGTATTTTTATTTTTATATTTGACAACTGCCGACGCCGTTTCCACTTGGTTTTGTGTTACTCTTTTTATCCCCAGCGTGGACTATGTTTAATGCGCTTTGCGTCATTTCGTTTTGAACAGTTTTCGTTACTTTTGTGTGAGCACTCCCGACTTGAATTTAAAAATAACCAACTCTTGCATCTGGGTGTTTCTGTTTTTATCTGCCTTTTATTTGCATGTTTTCCTCCGCCGTTTTGGTTTTTGTTTTACTTGTTTTACTTTATTTTTTGTTTGCTTTGCCCGGCCATTATTGGGTTTATTTATCTGTTGATGACTTTTAAATGGCAGCTGTTCTCCACTCGACGGCAAAAAACAACGTCTAAATAAAGTCAATTAGAGGAGAAAACCTTTTAGTTGACCTATCCCGCCCTATAAGGCCTGCATTCAAGTCGAACTAAGCGATTAATCCAATATGGACGTTGAACTCGCATTCGACAGCAACGAATCATTTGAGTCACAAGACCTTTTTAGTCGAATTCAAAGTCAACTGTTTTTAAATTTCTAAATAACCATCGAATCAAACAAATTTTAAATAGTTGCTGTATAATTATTTTTTTTTCCAATCGGAATAGGGTCTTTCCAAATATTCTGACGAGGAGGAAATACCCTAACTAAATTTGTTTCACTTTAATTTCATAACCAATTAAAAACAAAAATATTTTTTTTATTAGCCAGTGATTAGTTTTGACTTTCGACTTGAATGAAATCGTAATGGTGAGACTTAGCGATAGGCGGTTTTTGATAACTACTACAGCCCATCCCTCCAAAGCTAATCCAAAAAGCTAACAACAACAGTCCTCGAACTAACCACTTGATCACTGAGCTCATTTCAGACCGGGCGAAAAATGCCGAATAAGCGAAAGCACTCAAGTACGCCACTCGAGCGACTGGACACTATCTGCGATGCCCACACATGGAACAGTAATCAAATCAGATGTGAATGCGAATATGAGAATATGCGAGTGGGGATTCAAAGTGCAGCCCCAGTCCGGCTTAGTAATGCCAGACGAGACGAGACGAGACGAGATGGGACGAGCTGAGACGAGCTGAGACGGGACGAGTGGCACCTGCCCATTGGGGGCAACGGGGCGGATGAGTGACGACAATGGCGATGACCTCGCACTCGAAATGGGGGCGGGCGGCTCAGAGGGGCAATCACTCACCCAGCCGCATGCAAATGGCCAGCAGCTGATAGTTGACTGCTCAAACGAAATGAAAACAAACAACCGACGCTGTCAGCTGGAGAAGCGATCTGAAGTATATTTTAATTACACTCGTGTGAATGCCGCCGGCGGCAATTGAAATATTTTTCCGTTCTAATCTACGACCAATTTAATATGAATTGAATAAATGAATAGATGGCCACCGTATCTGGGGAGACTTTGCCACCATTCAGGAAACGAGCGGTGCCTTGTTTAGATTTGGCGTCCAAACGAGATTGCTTTCTACGGCAAGTGGTGATAGATTGGCCTTATCCCAGCTAAACTACATTTTTGAGGTTTCTTTCAACAGAAATACAGGTTTTGATATTGTTCTGTTAAAAACGATAATGGATTCTAGGACGGAACTGTACATTTCCGGTTCTTATTTCAGTGATAAACTTTCAATTTTTTCTACTTTGGTTTAAAAAATTAAATAAATTCAAGATATCACAAAAATAATCTCCCAAAGAAACTGGATCGATTTTTTTGCTTGGCTATTTACCAGATATTTCTCAGACGTCACCACTGCCATCGGCCTATTCCTGCTATGGTTTCGTTGTGCTCCAGTTGGGTCTGTCGTCTTTCCTTGTTGAAACATAAGTGGATTCAAGTCCACTTGGGCGAAGAATCGGACTTGTTTGGATTTAGGGCAGTCCAAAGCGGTTGGGTTCGTGTCGGATGAGTCAGTTTTAGGTCCCCAACTGCGGATGTCGTTCGTTCCGGTTTTTGGTTGGAAACTCTTTTTGGGTTTAATTAATACGCTGATTGCCGCACTGAATCCTCAGCGGACTTGCCTTGCCTATGCATAAATTAATCAGTTATTTACTTCCTGGAACCAAGCAACTCCCATGGAGCCGTCTCCAATCGCTTCGGCGTGCAATCAATAATGGAAAGTACACATTTTCCCCAGGGACCTTGGGGCCGAGCTAAAACAATTTCAACCGATAACATCTCGCGTTTCCTGCCAGCTCAAACTTCCAGCTTTAAACCATTAGATTTTTCTTTGTATTCGTCTGCCAACAAAGGCATAATGTGGAGTCGTAAACACTGGTTTGTGGGGGGAAACCGGGGATAGATAAAGGCAAATGAATTATACCGTTTGAATGAATGAACTTGGGGTCTGGTGGTCGCTGGGAAATGAGTACAGTAAAGCCTAGAAAGTCTTCTGGAAATTAACTAGCCGAGAAACCCGCTTAAATTTATTGAAAACGTATTTAATCCACAATTAAAACAGGAACTTTAATAGCCTTTTAAAAAGCCGATATACATTGTTAATTAGAAGGTTCTTAATTGCGGAAAAAACTGTTAAAAGTTGGTGCTGGATAAATATAGTTTAGTTTATATTTCCCCTTAATTTCTTTGGGCTATAAAGTAGTTTCAAATTGCGTTTCCCCGTCATGAAAAGCAATAAAACGGACCTAAGCAGTTTTCGAAATTCGTCTCAGTTCAAAGGTTTTCAATTAGCGAGGGACCTCTGTGCGGCGACGTTGCCTCAACCCTAAGTCAGGTCTTCCATCAATGACAATAATCAATCACAGCTCACCGCAGATGAAAAAAAACCAAAAGCCGGAGCCAAATGACGGCCAAAGCAAAGCTGAAAATCAAATTAAGGCGAACAATAGGGGAGCCGCAGATGGGAAGTGTGAAAAGTTGCCACAAAAGCCGACGGCAAAAGGAACTTTTCTTCGCCGCAGCCAAATCACTTGAACTATGCTTTTCTCTCGCTCTCTAGCTTGAATTGAAAACACAATTTACTTAATTTTTTGCATATCTCGCTTCAAATTACGTTGCATAATTTTGAATAATTTTTATTCGTATTTTTTGTGTTGCTTTTTTCTGCTTTACTCTCCTTCTCTTCTTCATTCGGTAATAATTTTTGCTTTCATATTTTCATATTCTTTCAGTAAATGGTTTGTTATAACATTTTGTTGATTTTTTTTAATTAAATATGCGTATGTGTAATTTTTAGCAATTGTTGTTTTGGTTGGATGTTGTTGCCGTTGTTTTTGTTGTTGTTCTTGTAATTGTTATTATTGATGTTGTTGGTTTACACAGAGCGGTTGTTGTTGTTGTTTGTTGTTTCTTGTTGGTTGTTTAATTTAAATTAAATTAATTACTAAAATTATTTTATAACAAATATCACTACAATAGTTTGCATTTTTTTGTTGTTTGTTTTTGTATCGTTTATCAATTACTACCATTACTAAAAAAGAAAAAAAGATCGCTCGATTCCTCTTTTCTCACCTTCGGACAACAATTTTTCGTAGCAGCTAAACAGAATTTAATTTCATTTCTTAATATTTTGTAGAGTTAATTACTTTTGATTCTAAAAGCTTTGAGGGGGTGTGTATATATAGTACTATTTAAGGGGGGAGGATCTATTGGTTATTCCTTGAGGCGGCTATTTCATCGACGCGTACTTGGTAGGCGCCTGTCTCATGTGTTGCAAGTTGCATGTTGCTTCTGTTGCTGTTGCTTTTGCTACTGCTGCTGCTGCTGCTGTTGCCGTTGTCCTTGCTGCTGCATCACACGTTGTAGCAGGAGATCTGCGGCAGGTGCTGGAATGTGGGCGTGGCCGCCGAGCTGAACGGCACGAACGACGTCTGTCCAGCGGCAGCGGCGGCGGCTGCCAGGTTGAGCGAGGCGGCCGCCGCGTACGGATGCATCCGCTGGGACCGCAAGTACTGCCGGTACTTGCCGCTCAGTTTGTCCGTGGCCGTGGTTACCGCTCCCGTCGCCCCCGTGCCGCACACCGCCCCGCCCCCTCCTCCGCCCACCGACGCCGATCCACCCGTGGCCGCTCCGGAGGTGGGCGTGGCCGAGTAGAGGCGCATGGGATTGGTGTCAGGGCCGGCCTGATAATTGCTAGGAACTGTGGCCATCGGCGCGCGGTCCATCAGCATGGACGTCGCGTCCCAGGGCGGCGGAGGCAGGCAGTGTTGCTGTTGCTGGTGCTGTTGCACCTGCGACTGTTGCTGTTGCTGTTGCTGCTGTTGCAGCTTCCCCGAGGCGACCGCCGTCTGACCGTAGTTGCTGCCGGAGATCATGGCGTCCCGCTTGCCACTTCCGCCCCCAGCGCCACTGCCCTTGGCCGCGTAGTGGCCGTGGGGGTGCAGGATGTGGTGGGGCGTGAGGGCGGTGCGGGCGGCCAGCGCCGCGGCCAGCTGATCCCACTGACCGGCGGCCGCGGCGGCTATCGAGGCTTGGGCCTGGGCCTGTACCGCTGCCGCTGCCGCCGCCGAGTTGGCTGCGTGGCTCTGACTTTGGCTTTGACGTTGGCTTTGGTTGGTGCTGGCACGTTGCTGCTGTTGCTGCTGATGTTGTCGGCGTACATGCTCCAGACTAGACTGTTGCTGGGGACACATTCCTGCAAGAAAGATAATTTCAATTGATTAGGAGACATAAAAATATTGTGCAAATAAGGTTAGCTTAATCCCAGATAAACATGGTTTGAAATTGATAAACCTTTTATCAAATACTAGCAAGCCATCCCCCGCAGCTTAGCTTTCTAAGATCTGTCTTATGATCTGTCCAAAATTACTACCAGCATTTTGCAGCAAAATAGCATGTCAGAGCTGACGTCCTTTCTTATTTTATTAGTGTACGTAGTGTAGGTCTTATATCTGCAAAGTCAACTTTCTTTCTCGGTTTTATTTAATTTTATACTTCTAAATGACAAATTTTTCCTTCTTTGATTCCCGGTGTGGAAACTGAATTGAGTATTTTGATATAATAATGTTCAAAAAATAATCTTTTTTAAACCATTTTGTTTTGTTTCAAAACAAATTCGATGGATTTATTGTAAATTTTTAAATAAAATTCTGAACAGTTGAATGTTGTAATACTAGGGATGATTTAAAACCCTTTTTTTGGGTCACGTTTGAGCGAACCAATAAACCCATTAAAAGAAAACTATTGTCGAAACTAGCATTGTAAAACACTTTTGCTATGGGAGGCCACATTTTTATAGCAAAGGTTCTTTTTATTATATTTGCCAACTAACCTCAGGTAGCATTAAAGCAATAAAAACATTTTTTTTTAAAGAGGGTTAAACATTAAAATACGCAAATGTGTTTAAACAAAAAAAAATGGTATTTTCCCATGGGTAACCTGATATACTTCAGCCAATGTAAACGTATGACATACAAGGTTTTAATACTAGCTTTAAAACTAGCGAGTAAATCGTTCTGAAATAGACAGGCAAAACCGACGGAAATTGACTTTTTTTCAGAAATTCAGTTCAGATTTAAGGTAAACTAATTCAAAATTCCCCTACCAAAATTAGCTATTACCATGTTTACTATAATTTTTGTTTAGAATAATCAAATTGAAGAGTTTTGGGATGAAGTTAGAATAAATCCTGATTTAACGAATTCAAGCAGACTGACCATTTACTCTTGACTCTATAAGTTTAAAAACAGCTGTTCTTTATTATGATTTATAAATGAAAAATAAACAAAATCAGAAAAACTAACAGTAAGGCTAACAAAAATCAGAAAAACTAACAGTAAGGCTAACAAAAATTACCTAGAATTATTATGAGTCGCCAGGACAATTAAGTATATGTCTTAAAGAGTTCGTATATTTTAAGGGGGTAATGCTTTGACTTTTACTCTTATTTCAGCCATTACGATGTATCCAACAAGGCAAATGTCAATTTTAACAAGAGATTTCGATTGCAAATGACAAAATAAAAATCCCTAATCAGATGCTGCGAACAACCAACAATTTTAAGATATCAAATCATATCAAATTTGGTCAACCAATTTTTTCTGGACAATTTTCTACGAATATTTTGGTTCCGTGGGTGGTTTGATTTGTTTTTTGGAAACATTTTATTACTTATTAGGTCTCAAAAACTGGCATTGTAATATCCACACTCGTGGCACTATTTTTTATGTGCGTCCAAAAATGTTAACGTTTTTGAAAAAGCGCTTTCTTTTTTGACGGACAAAAATAAGTTTAGCCTTTAAGTTGTGACACATATTTGACATAACACATTTGAAAATCGGTCTGCTTTGAACGCATAATATCCGAAATTATGTTTTAAGGCCATAAATTGGACTATTCGAAGTATAGTGAACGAATTAGGGCCATTGAATTGGATTTGCGCAGTGGAAGAAATGGAAAGATGAAATTGAACGGGGACCACTTTTCAAAATCAAGCACTGTTACAACAGATACTAGTTAGACACATCCGCCTTATAGTTAGGATATATTTGTTAATTTCTAACTTGTCTTAAGATTCCTTTCATTTATACATTTTGGAATTTAAAATTCACTTCATTCTGTTGCAGAGGGAGGAACAAATACCGCGAGACACAATGAATGTTTCAACTTACCGATTTGCTGTTCCAGACTAGACCGTTGCTGGGGATAGTGGGCTTGCTGCGACATCTGCGACATTTGCTGGTGCTGCTGCCGCAGTTGTTGCTGCTGTTGCTGGTAACGTTGTTGCTGCTGCTGTTGCTGCTGCTGCTGTTGCTGGGCGTTGGTGGCCACCCGAGCTCCCCGCCGAGCGGCACTGCTGCTAGGCGCCGTGGCCACAGCCGTACCGCTTCCGCCCCCGCCCAGGGCCGCTCCACTGCTTAGTGAACTGCTGCTGACCGCCCTCGCCGTCGCGTGCATGTTGTTCACGAACGGACTGCGTCGCTGCGACTCCATCTTGCGGAAGTAGCACGGGTGGATCATCAGCAGCGGCTCCACTCTTTGGCCCGCCGGAGGCTTTGGCTGGTTGGGCAGCTCGTACTCCACGCTGCAGTCGACGTGGAGCGGGATGCTGTAGTCCTTTTGGGGCGAGGGAGCGGGCGCTGTGTTGCTGTTGTTGCTGCTGCTGGGCGTCTGTTGCTGCTGCTGCTGTTGCTGCTGCTGCTGTTGTTGCTGCTGCTGCTGTTGTTGTTGTCTGTTGTTGACAACATGGTACATGTGTTGCTGCTGCTGCTGGTGATGATGCTGCTGCTGCTGCTGCTGCGTCTGGCTGTGTTGCTGCTGCGCCTGGCTGTGCTGCTGTTGCTGCTGCAGGGCAGACAGAGCCGACATGCCGTGCGACAGGGACGACATGTCGTAGTTGGCATAACAGGCGGCCATCGTCATCGCTGTTTTATTTTTTATTGGCTCCTTTTAGCTTTTGCTCTCGTTTCGATAACACAGAATTCGCTTTTGGTTGCTTGTTTACTTTTGTTTTAGATTTTTAGCATTTTGCGGGCGTTATTTTCGCTTTCTTCACTTTCGAAAAAATTCACTTTTGTGGTTTTTATTGGCACTGGTAATCCAAAAAGAGCGGCTAACGGTAAATTGTCGCTGCAGGTAATCCGTGAGTGTGTGAGTGTGTGTTGGTTATTTCTTTTTCGATTTGTTTTTTTGTTTAATTTGAGATAGGAGGAACCTTAATCCATATGTGTTTGCTTTGCTTTGGAATTCGCTTTAACCCGTATAATATTTAGCTGCTGTTCGCGTGTTTAACTTTGTTTCGTTACGTTTATTGTATATATTTATTTAGCGTTTTAATCAGTCTTTGTTTGGTTTTACATAAATGCAGCGAACAGTTGGAGCTGCTGTGGGTGAGTGGTTTGGGGGAGGTGTGAGTGAACAATCCACGTGTGTTTTTCAGTCTTTTTGCCCGTTTTCGCTGGCCTAACTTAACCGTTGCTTTCCTCCTCTTGTCTCTCTTTTCTTTTCATTCGGTTCTGTTCTCGCGGGAGTGAGTTCGCGGAGTAGGAAACTTGTTAGTTCTATGCGCGATGCAATAGAACTGCCGAACGAACGTCACGTCTCGTCCACTCCGAAGAAAAACGCGATCTGACTCGGAAACGAGAAACTATTTGGCTAACGCTGCTGCCTATTTTTTCTCTGCCCAGCCTCTGCCGACGTTTGTGAGCGCAGCTGAGAGAGAGCGCGTTTGCTGAATACGGAGAGCGGGAGAGCGCGTAGGGGGTGAGAGAGCACACGAAAAACAGCTGTTTGCCAGACGCCTGTGTTTAGGCTTTGTTTTTGTTGTTTGTCTGGGCCGATTCGCTCACTTTTGATATCACAATTTGCCACAGTTGTTTCTGTTTTTGGTTTTTCAACAGCCTGTTCACTTTTCACGCGACAATAACTCTTAGTATCTCCCTATTACTGGAGTAATGTCTTTTGTAGCGCACTATATATCTTTGTTGTGTCCGCTCGATTCGGGCTCTTTGAAGCGACTGAACTGGCTGAAGAGGAAAAAGACGAGTTGGCCTCCAAGCCCGCAGTCGCCGCGCAGTGGCTGCGCTGCCGCCCTTCTGCCGACGCCTACCTGCTGTTCGGCACAGCTGATGTTCCGTGACGTATTCAGCACGCACACACTTTCAAAACGCGAGCGTAAGAGCCAATTGCATTCAATGGCAGCATATGGCCGCTCTCTCTGTTTGGCTGTGTGTTCGTGTGTGTGGTACACATTCAGCCATGTTACTACACGGCGGCCATCTTTACAACTGTTTGGGCGAGACAGAGAGCAAGAGAGAGTGAGAGAGCGAGAGACACTGAGCGCGCATTATTTTGTAATACTTTTTTGCCCTGCTTTAATTTTTTACGGCAAACGCTTTTTTGGGAGCAGCTTTATGGGCTCGTAAAAGCAGATGGGGCCTAAAGGGGTTAACAGCGAGTTGAGAGCTAATTGAGTCGCTCTTAAACTGGAAATAAAATAATTCCATCAACGGAACGTTAAATAGGTGGGGTTCTTTCAAGAAATACCCGGAAAAGGTTTAGTTTAAGTGTGTGAAGTAGATACCCAAATAGCTAATGCTTTTTAAATGCTTAAACTCAAACTATGTACATACAATCTCTGTAATGCATCCCAAAACACACCTAGTTCTAAATATAACAAAAATCCCCAAAAACCCCTAAGAACCTCCCCAATTTTTGAATACAAAAACCTAAACTGCGCACTGAGAGACTTTTCTGCAGCTAAAAAAAAGAATAACAAAAACTCAAACAGACAGCGATATTAAACATTTCTGCACTAAAAAGTGGGCAATTTAAGTCGGGAAAGGGCACTATCTCTCGCGCCCTCTCTCTCTCACACACACATTCCGAGAGCGAGAGCAAGCGAGAGAGAGAGCGGCAGAGGCAGACGGAATTACACACATTGTAATAAATAAGGAAGGTCGTTGCCATAGCAGCAGCCGCCGTTGGCGTCGTTTTTTTCCCCACTTATTGTTGTTGCTGCGGAAGAGCTCTCTCTCTCTATCTCTCTCTTTTGGGGCTCATTCAGCGGCTGCTGATAACGAATCAGCTGTTTAGTTATTTGGGGAGGTGTGTCCGTTTTTGTGTGTGTGCGTGAGTGACGACTGTCTGGCTGCTTCTCTTTTTTACTATTTTTTTTCCAAGCATATGTTTGTTGCCTAAGTTGTTGTTGCGGGGCTTGAAGTGCTGGTGTTATATTGCTATTGCTTTTGGTTCTGCTATTAAATGGTTTTCCACATCATGTTAGATGAAATACTAGTATTTTTATTGAATATATAAAGCTTTAAATCGACGATTTAAAAGATTTAAATTTATATAAATTATGATAAGTTTTAGTTTGAAAGTTTATAAAAATGATTAAACAGAAAAGAATTTCTTTGCTAACACGATGTAAGTTGTTTTTTTAATGATATTTCGAATCACTTTATTTTAACTGTTACGTAAAAAGTGACACAAGGTTTGATATGGTGCTGATTTTTTTTACTGTGCAGGTCTTATGATGTTGTCTCCTAATTTTGTTCCTGCGATATTGTTAATGAACCGCCGTTATTGCTATTGGTATTGCTGCTGATTTCGTTAGTGTTGTTGCCGTTAATTTAATACTGCTGCATTCATTTTAGCCCTTTTTTTGGGTCGTGCTTTCTGAAGATTTTTGATGTTAATGTTATGTTGGGTATTGCTCTTGGATTTCAAGTTGCTGCTGTTGCTGTTTTACTGATGTTGCTGCTAAGTTGTTGCACCTTTTAGGTTTATTATTGCTCTTGTGTGTGCTTATTTTGCTTTTTTGCTGCTGCCGTGATGTTGCTTGTGAACTTGATGTTGCTGCCGTGATGTTGCTGCTTGCGTGCCTAATGACGAGTCGGCCGCATTACAGTTTGATTACGGGGCCGCCAATTTGGAAATTACCAAACTGCTCGAATTAGATGAACTGAGCCCATGGCTCAACCGAACGGCAAAAGCAGAAGAACAAAAACAGGCAACAGGAAATTGGCCAAGAGTGGCACCAGCAACAACAACCACATCGACACAACTAGTAATTGTCTAGAAAATTTTGCGAAATTAGAAATTCTAGACAGAAAATGGTTTACCCAAGTGGGGTTGTTTAAGCTAAAACATAAAATAGACATATAAATACCTTAAAATACAGTCGTTTCGTAATTTTGTTCACATAATGGTACAAATTTCCGTTACTTTGAAACGCCCTCGGAGTTCTAAAGCCTTTTTTAAACCCTTGCAGAGGGTCTTATAGTTTGAGTCAAAAGTTTGCTATGCAGTATATATTCTGGATAAGCAACGCTAGACGAGTTGATATAGCCATGCCTGCCTGCTGGATTTGAAGCTACCTTTATGAAACGTTCCCAACAGTCTTCTTTACGTTGGAGGAAGTAGTTTCTCTTTTGTATTGTATATCCAACTCGTAATCGAAAAAGGACGCTTCCGATGTTGTAAATGAAAATCTAATTACATATCCTTACACGATAGAAACTACAGACCGCTTCTAAAAAATTAAAACATATTTAGCTATCAAAAGTTTTGAGAAAAATAGTATTATTATTAAAGTTAACAAAACAGTCTTAATTTTCCTTGACAACATTTGATATCAGAAAATATTATATCTCAAAAAAAAAAAAAAAATGCCTGAATGAGATATCGCAGATTCACGAAAACAGTTTGCTGGGCCTAAAATAGTATTCATAGTAGAGCTGGGGTTAAGATTAGGTGTCGTATTTCGGATGGAGTGAAATATATAATTTTGTACCATTTCCATTTAAATGTAGTTCTATGACAACATTCAGCTCTATATCGTTTGCCCCCTGGGTCATTCTTTTGATCTGTAGTTTTCGGATTTCTGGCATTCACTCATTAAATCGGTCCAGCCCACATTTCCTGTTCCTCTAATCTCTGTCATCGTCTCTTTTTTATTTTTCCTTTGTGTTATCGCTCTGCTCCTCGGCTTCCTTCGCTCCTTTTCTTCCCTTCTGGCATATCGAATTCATAACTCAACTGCAACTGCCTTTCTCTTGTTTAAGTCACAGTCCGCCCGATCTGTTGGCCTGTCCGCCTGGTACAGTGAAGCCCGGCGGAAACCTGTTTGCATTATTAAGTAACCGCTATGCCCGAGGAGGGTGTCCGAGTTCGACCGGTTGCGCTGCATGGCTTCTTCTCCAGAAGATTTTTATTCTGCCGTCGCTTCTATTCCCCGATGTCTGCACGAAACTTTCGTTTTTTATACCCGGTACCCGGTGGGGGTTAGAGGTATATTGTGTGCATCTTTAAAAACATATTTTTGCCGAGAAATTCATTTGTTTGAAATGGACTAAGTATCCATGCACAACCCATCCACACGAATACTATAAAACCTGTTCCTTTTTCTTTTACAATAACGCATAACATTTAATTTTAATTAGTTTTGCAACTATTGAATAAATGTAATGACTTTTGGATTAAAAATATTGAACATATTTTTACAAAAACTTTTAGAATACAGTTGCAGGGTATTAGGCACATATGTTAATTTAAAATCGGGAAGGTTATCTGCTGGGTTAAATAAAATATTATAATAATGCTGGCACAGTGTAGTTAAACTTATAAAGTCAATTAAAAACCTGTAAAAAAATACTCACAGTGAGTCAAGTCTTAAAAAAATTACTATTTCCACTTGGTTGGCATCAATCCAAGCTGCATTGCTATAAAAATATATAGTACTAAAAATTTATTTGACTGAATCTTGCAAGTAGACTACAAAAGACATATATGTATGTATTATAATTTAAAATCATCTTGTATGTAGGGTATCTCATGATCGAGCGGAGCAAACTTGCTAGTCTTTTTGTGTGTCCCCTCTTGTGCTGTTGCAGTTGGCCTGTCTGTTTGTCTGGCCCGCTTGTTAATTCGAAATAAAAACAGGAAAATTTACTTTACAATCTGTGCTAAAATCGTAAATTTTTAGCCCGGCTCAGGGGAGCGGCTGTTCCACGTCCAGTTTCGCAGGTAAGACGGGGCAGGCAGGCCGCGAGGAACGAGGAATGAGGTACGAGGTACGGCAAGGTAAAGGTAAGCTAATCCGCTTGGGCATGACAACGATGACTATTTGTTCTGGGCCCGGATCTCCTGCCTCCCGCCCCTCCCTCTGCCCGTTCTGTTTGCGGTTCCACGTATTCTCGTACTCTCGAATTCTCTGGCCGTGCCTAGTTGTTATCTTTTCTTATTTAATTTTTGGCTGCCATTGCCGGAGTGGCTTGCTGTCGCCGTCTAATCTCCCCGGCAATATCATCACGAACGCTGGATACCGGCTCACCGGCTCCTCAGCTCCTCAGCTTCTCGGTGCGAGAGCCTGGCCGTTGATTGATGCGTTTCCCATTCGGAATTTATGCCATGGACCATTTTGGGCAAGCGCTAAGCAATTCATTTTTTTCCAGTCGAGCGGTCCTTTCTCCCCGTCCCTCCACCACACTGCGCCGGACCACTCCAGGCCGTTTGAAGTTGCTAACTCAGCCACTTTCCCGTCAAAACTGGCTTTTTTTAAGCAGCTATCACATATAAAATCACCCAAAATCCGTACATCCTACATTTTATCTGGGGTGTCACGAAATTCATGATTTAAAATTAATCCGAACAACCCTTTAGAGTTTTCATGTGGTCATGTGTTTAAATTTTAGAAACAAGTTGTTGAAAACCTTTTATTTGGCTTAAATCGATTATTCAAATTGGAAAGACTTTCTGTGACACTGAGATTTGATTCTGGGTTGAAATTTTGTTGAAATTTATAATTTGTATTAACAAACCTTTATCTAAATTGACATTTACCTAAGAAAATTTGTTTTTAAAATAAATTATTGCCGCTTATTGACAAAAATAAAGTATTTTAATTTTTTGTTTTATCATTAAAAATTTGTATGGTTTTAAATCAACAAGAATGTTTTTTGGTTAGTTTTCTAAGGCTACGAAAATATGTATTTAAATATTACTTTGGAAATTAAACATTTGTTA